AAGAAGATAAAGAATGCATTTGGGGAGCAAACAGTACTTATAATTTTCAACACAGTTGCTTCAATGTCTGAAAGTAGGGCATAGAGAACTCACTAAAGAGCTCATAAAAAGCCCAAAAGATTGCATGAAGCTTTTCCAAATTCTCTGATTCTCAGAGAGTAAGTATTATAAGATGCTGAGTCATCAAATTCAACTGCAACTGTACAACAGTGACATAATCTTTTCTCCGGAAGATGTGTAATAGCACACTGTTCTTTTGCTATTGTGGGACATGACTTCAACTATGTTGACTAGAAAAAAAGCACACAAGTACACAGATTGAACTATCTCTACCCCACACATAGTAATTCAATATTCACAGATAAAATTATATTTGTAAATAAAGTTATAAGTAAATTTACAAGGTAATTTATGAAATGGTGAGAAAAGTTCCTGAACAATACAATGAATAAGAATTTCCAGCTCCATATGTTTTATGATAATTCAAAGATTAAATAGTACCATTTAAATATTATTTTTAACACCCCTTCAGTGTTTCTGAAGCCATATAATTTTAATTAGAAGATATTTTTTCAGAAAAATAATAATCAGATGATAATTCAAACCAAGCAGTCTTCTAGCATCTTACTATTAAAGAAGTTATGTAATTCAGTCTTTTGTTAAAAATGCTTTGTATGTGTCCATTGGTTAGGGGGTGAGGACATGAGTGGGGGGCGGGGGGCAATGGGGCAATAAGGACACATATGTAATACCTTAATCAATAAAGCAAAAAATTTAAATGCTTTGCATGTAGTTTCTATATGATAGAAGCAGCTTTTAAAAATACTATTTTGAAAAAGAGATCTGTACTTCCAATTTGTGAAATGACACCACCGTTAACCAGAATGATTTTTGTCATAAATAACATGTTGTAAACAAAGTGCAGACTTAGACTAAAAAATAATTTGGTTGATATTTCATTTTATATAAATACACTGAAAATAAGAAATATTGATTTAAATATTGGCCAAAAAAATCTGAGTTGCAAAGGACACAAAGATAGATCTTAAGCCAAGATATTAGAATAAAGGATTAGAAACTAAATTTCCAAATAAGCAAAAATCTCCCATATTGCTATGCTACTTTTTTAGTGTAGGCAATTAAAATCTTAAATTTGTGTGCATTATGTTTACCTAAAATCACATTTTCTCTCTATTAGAAAAGACAAAGAGTGGAAATGAGATGGAGAATAGCTTCTGCATAAAACATGCAAACAAAACCAACTTCAACCAATGAACACCTTGACAAAATATATGATTCTGCAGAAAACCATACAAAATTATCTGGCTCAATGTCTAAATAAGTTATAGAACTGCCCTTTCCCTTTTTGGTTAAATTAATGTATTCTGAAGAATTACATATGAGCCTCCAAGTATTTATATCCTTGAAATTTTCAGGTAAGAAAGTATTATGTATGAAAATCCAGTTTTACATCATTGCAATATTTTTGTTTACACCAAGATATAATAAAAAGCATAATGACTCACCTGAAAAAATGCTGAGAATCCAGGGTCTTTCATAATTCAAGTTACCTAATTCTTCTTTATCACCCTATGTAACCTATGTAATCCAACTCTATGGCCATGGCCAAGATATTTTTCACTTGTGATATTATACTAATAGGACACATCTTGAAATTCATAAATTTACAAAAATCTTCTAATGTGGTATTTTCTGTGGACATAAACTCTGAATTGTTTGAAGTCCCATGTTTGCAACAATATTAAAGATTTCCAAGATATAAAATGGAATCCTACGTTTCTTCTGGTTAGAGGAGAAATTGAAGAAAAAGAAAAGATCTTTGTTCTGAGAAGCAGTGAAATAAGGGCTAAGCACATTCACCACCAAATAAGCAGCGTTGGTGGACACAATATTCCATAGTAAAAAAGCTAGCAATAGCAATGTAATCTCAGAGAATTGCTGGGAGTGGCTGAAGAATTCCGGCGTTGCACGTTTCTGCTTCCAGGTACTATGAACAGGATTTTTCATTCACAAGAAATTCATGGGTTGCTTTCTCCTGGCATATGATGGAGAGGAAGGGAAAAAAGTTTGGATATATTTATTTCTTACTTCGATGGCCTATTAAAGCTTTCAACAAAAATATATCCTTTGGAAATGTGAAAACAATCATGTTCTTCTTTTTTCCCCTCCTTTAAGTGTATGAGAAAGGCAAAATATATGAGGAAAAACAGAATGAACAAACTGGCATAGTTTATGAAAGATTTATATACAGTATTCAGTTTGCTAACATAAGGGCAAACGTAGAATTATAAGCTTTTTTATCATAAACAAAATTAGATTTTCAGGATCATATGCTCAGTACTGAAAAATCCCACAAATAAAAATTTGTTCATGGAAAAATAGAGATACTTTGAATACTAAAGTCCTTTATTCAACAACACATAAATTTCACAAAAAACAACTTTACTGGGCAAATTGAATGTGTTTTTTAAAGTTTTTTTTTACAGTTTTGTACATGCCCTATAAGTAATTTTCTTTAATAAATACACTGTTTTCCAAAACTGCTTTTTTTATAATTGCACAAGCATACATACACCTTACACAAATATCTGTTAGAAAATTTAATAGATAACTGCACAGTTCAGAATAGGAGAGCACTGTGAAATGAGTACATTTTGTGGTCCATTCCTGAAACTTCTCTGACTTCCTTGCAGTTGTGAAAACTGAACCCCTTCTAACATAGTAGCTGTCTTCCATTCACCAGGAATACAGATCTCAGTGTGAAACTGCCAGATTTAATAAAAACAAAATCTGAAACATTTAGCTATTACATGAGAACCAACTGTTTGATATCCCTGTGATCAAAGACCCACTACGGTTTTTGCTGAACATATTTGACCCTAAATGGTGTGTTCATTTAACGGCTTTCCTTTTTTTCATTATTTGATTACAGATACTATCAGCTTAAACACTTTCTATGCTTTAGGATTAATTGTACAATTTACATGTCAGGGGTTCTGAATAAAAGGAAGGGAATATCCTTTTCTTTTAGTAATTAGTTAATATTAATTCATTCATAGTCAGCCCACCATCTCTTGCTCCTTATAAATGTTTAGAAGAAGGAAGTTGTGTATTTGGAATTAAGCAACCAGGAGATGTCTTTATACACTCTTACAATGGAGGAAGACATTTTTTTTTCTCCCAAGCATGGATACATTTCTACTTTATGCCTCCCCTTGTACACAGACAGATAAAATTCATCACAAAGCCACTTTAGTCTGAAGGCCTGGAAAAAAAGGTTTACATTATGATGTTCTTGTGATGTTAGGGTGCTAAGTGACAGCTGACAAGGAAATTGACACCCAGAGATTTTCCATGCTCCCCCCAAAATGCTGACAGAATATAGCATTTCCTCATCTATACCGAGACAAAGCAAGACTTCTGTGTATGTAGACCGCTCTTACAAACTATTTTATTTGACTTAGCTGATAGGAAAATTTTAAGGTGTCTTGATAGTCCACCCGATCTATATTCCATTTTTATGTTTTAAATTTTCTTGGTGCTGAATATAAAACATACAGTGAGGAATTTTAAAAGTTGCCTTTCATTGGTATTTTAAAAATCATGAAAATGTAAACCTTTAAATCATTCCCTTAGGGTTATAATGATATGCTTTATAGCTCTTGGTACAGACTTAGAGAAAGGAATTAGAGTGAGGCCAGAAGAGTAATATCCTTCTTCAACATCATCAACGAGAACTTTATATGCACTCTACATTATATAAATAGAGTTTTAGCAAAACCAAAGAAATGGGTAAGTGTAAAAGAACAATGTCAAGAATAAGAACATATAAGAGAATTAAAGAAAAGCTATACATTTCCATTTTAATAATCAACAGATTTTCTTTCATTAAAAAATTGAATTGACATGTAAAACACCACATTTTACAATATACAGATTCATAAGTTCTTTAAGAAAACGAACAAACAAAAACACATCAAGACATGCAACACTAGCATGTATTTTAGACTCTTGGTACATTGCTATGAGATCTTTATATGTTACTGTATGCCTAATGCAGTCTGAAGGGAAAGAAGTTTGCTTCACTGCTGTAATAACAATCATCGTTTTCCAAAAAGCAAGGCAAGCTTCCCATTCAAGTGTGAAAGTTAGTTTTCACTTACTTGTAAAAATTATCAAATTGATTTTAAAAATAAGTAAAATAAAAAAGAACTAGAAATAATTCATATAGCTCTCTTCTCCCACAGCTGGAATAGAAATTCTATCTAGAAATCCTCAAAGGAATATATAGCAAGTGGAAAGTGATCTCAAAACTAATATACAGCATGTTTTAGTTTGCGATTATTTAATTCTCTTCTCTAAACATGGATAGGTGTAACAGATAATGAATTTTCCTCAAAAAGGCTTTTGGACCATAATTGTGGACCTTGAATTCATATTCCAGGCAAGTTAAAGCACACTTTAACATTGGCATTTGTCAGCACCTTATCCATCCCTCCCTCCAGAATTCTTATGGTGAATGCTCCTTCCATGTTTTTTAAAATCTCCTCTGTTCTATTACTTCCAATTCAAAACTAGAACTAGCCTTTTAAAATTATTCATCTGCTAGGCTTTCTAAAGTTTTGCAGTCTTTTTCATCACTCTTTCTCTTCCCAAGTTATTTTTCTTCACATGATACATTTTGCTAACATTTTTCAAAAGGCTAATGGATGTGTAGGCTGAAATAAGTGGATAAAAAAAACAAAAAATGACAGTAACATGGCAACTTTGATTCTCTATGTGTTTTTGCTAAACTCTATTTTATCGCTGAAGTTGAACAGTCTCTGACAGAAAGAAGGAAAGAAGAAAGAAAAAGAAAGAAAGAAAGAAAGAAAGAAAGAAAGAAAGAAAGAAAGAAAG